GTGCCTATACTATACAGATCTACTCACTGATACCATATCGATTCGCTATAATGTCATTTAATAAAAGTCAACAGATCAAAAAAAGCGTTAAGCAAGGTAACTTACCCGTGAAAATAGCTACGGGAACAGGACTAATCCCGCATAATAAAGATTACAGGATGAGTATGATTCAAATAACCTTCCGTATATAGTAATTCTGTCTTAATAATGGATACTGTGAGAAAAGGCTGATTCTGAGGAAAGCGCAGCTTTGATTCCACATTACCCATCGCGACCCAACCCTCTCTCAAAAAGAAATCTGCTATTTTATTATAGATACTGAATATAAATATCAAATGGCCATGTTTATAGCCCATCACTAAGAGTTACAATCTAGCTTTTATTAGTTTTGGGTACATATTGTTAGTAAATTGTTACCCAGCGTGATGTGGTAGGGAATAGTTTTCGAGAAAATGAGACGTAACCTATTTGACATCTATTATATAATTTGATGACACAAGTAATGCAATAGGGGCGCCGGTGGCGCCCCACTTCGCTTGTAAAATATAAATTTAGTCTATTAGTTTTAATTAATAATTAGAACCAATCTAGACTGGTCCTAAGACCAGAAACTGAATGCTCATTGGACTGGCTAATCTTACTTGATCTTCAAGGTCTAGTTCATCCCTATCACTAGTTTATAATGAAATCATAATATTATAAACCAACTTTATTCGTATTCAATATTCTAGAACATAATTTAAATCCTTGCATATTAGAGATTTATAATTTTTGACCGATTTATTTTCTATATATGAGTACCTGTATCTAGAATTTCTTTGATCAACTTATTGGTTAAAAATCATATCTAGGTCAATGTTTTATTATTTAGTCGATTAAGCCAGTTAACTGATTTTTTAACATCGACTTAGTCGATCGGTAATTTAGGCCTCTAACACTAATAGTTTGTAAATTATAAATAGAGAAAAACTGGAAAAATAAATAATTATATAAAAAATTATTAATATACAATATTTTGTATACTATATGTTTATTTTTAAGATAATGATATTTTATTTTTTCTATGCAATCTATAAGTTTTATCAGTGCAATTAAATTTGACGTATGTCGGTATAAATTTTGAAATGACATGTGCTAAACATTAATCATAGATTGATGTATAGCAACATACACTAAATAGCACTTAAATAATTGCATTCTAAACGGTCACATAAAGTTTGGTCAACACTCTTTATCATGCTTCAAGGTTTGTAATATCAGTACCAGATACTTTACGTCCTTTAACATATACAGCTTTAATGTTTCGATCGTCACCAAGAAACAAAAATTTTTCAAATATCTTCTCGAAATTAGTATCAATATCGTCAAATATTTGTATAGGTGATCCCTCCGCTTCCGGATCAATTAATAACGCATCAAATTCCTTTCCAATTTCAAAGTTTCCAATCACATTTTCAAGATTTACTAGCTGTGCACCACCCATTGTTGCTAGGTACGTCAGTTCCGAAATCGTGAGTGGATTATAAACTTTATCGCTCTTCATCGATGAAAAATAAATCACGCGACTAGCAATACTAGCACTTCGTATAGAATCTAAAATTGATTTGGAGAAGCCTCCACTTATATCTGTACCCAAGCCAACTTTAATACCTTCATCAAGCAACTGACGAACATTACATACACCGGAAGAAAGAGTAAAGTTTGAATTTGGACAATGAGAAATTCCGACGTTACGTTCTTTGATAAGCTTACGCTCTTGAGAAGATAAATAAATACAATGTGCCATTATGGTTCGATTATTTTGTAAAACGTTATAGTGATCATATACTGTAGTGTAATCTGGAAGATGTGGATATGATCTTTTTACTTCGTCAATCTCTGCAAGATTCTCTGAGAGGTGAGATTGGATTGGAATTTGATAATCCTTAGCGATGTCTCCAAGAGATTTCATAAGGTCAGATGTACAACAAAGTGCAGACCGTGGCGTTATTATTGGTGTAATAAGACTAGACTCGAGGCTCTGTATGTATTTCACAAATTGCACTGTGTATCTAACACTTGATTCCATTGTTTCAAAATAACCATGGGGATTGTTACGATCCATATTCACTTTACCGATGAACCCTCTTTGACCTTTTTGATGAACTAAATCGGCTAAATATTTGCTAGACTCTAGATGAATAGTTGCATAGTAGATTGCAGTGGTTGTACCACAACGTAATAATTGATTAACAACAATTGGATATATTTTCTTGGTAAACTCAATTGATAAGAATTTTTTTTCCAGAGGATAAGTATACTTGTTAAGCCAATCAAGCAAAGGTAGGTCCATACCAATGCCCGCATTTGGATATTGTGGAGCATGCTATGAAAAAAAGGACGATCAACGAGTGAAAATAAAGCTATGGAATAATATACCTGAACAACAGTCATTGAAAATCAATTACCATATGAGTATCTACAAAGCCGGGTAATAAGAATTGTCGTTTGGATAAACGAACAATCTTTTAATAAAATCAGATAAAATTAAATTATGTAATTTAAAAAAAAAATTTATAATTATTGCACTATTTTTATACACCTTACTTTATCTTTGGTAGATCTGTTGACTTTTATTAAATGACATTATAGCGAATCGATATGGTATCAGTGAGTAGATCTGTATAGTATAGGCAC